AAGAAAAATAGTTGTTCAATAATTGATGGTTGACTTATATAAAGCAACAAGGGTATTTTGGTTTTTTCCCCAAATTGGATGGCTAGGATTAGGTCACTAGTAATCTAATCTAATGGCTACAAATATTTTCTAATTAAATTCTTTCCAAATATTATTTATCTCCATAAAATTTTCTAATTTACTCCATAAAAATAATTTCTCAAATTTCCTTACTTAATATAACACCGTAATTTACTATTCACTAATTATCTAAACTCTCCAAAAATATTCATTTCCAAAAATATTCATTACTTACTTCCTACCCATAAAAACTATGTATACATGCTCCAAAAATGTTATATAAAATATAAAACATATATAGTAAATTTTCCGGACAAAAAATAATATCGACTCCCAGATCGATGGTACTATTCACAGACCAATAAACTACTATTGAAACACAAGAAAAATAGGGCGTTACAGAACCTTTGCCATCACTATTTCAAACTCTAACACCTCAAATCCATCACCTTTCTACTTCACTCTGCACCGATTGGCATCTCGATGTTGTTTGCCATCCTCGCTATGTCATATCTAAACTTGTCCGCTGATTCATCAACTCTAAAATTGTGAAATAATGTAACTTTGATTCCTTTTTACTTGTATTTGTTTTTTTTTTTTTTTTTTTTTTTTTTTTTTTTTTGACATTGTCTTTGTTTATTTGTTTAATTGATACCTAATCATTTATTGGTATTGTAGTTTCATGAATGCATTCCGAGTGTTTGAAGAATCAACCCAAAGAATTGATATAGTTTATAACATGAAATATAGTTTCCAACCCAATAAAAAAAAATTCAAAAGAATAAAACCTAAAAAACATAGCCTAAAGTCTGTAACACTATATATTTAAAATAAAATTCCTTTTACATAAAAAAAACTCAGTTATTTCACATATTACAAGAAATTCAGCAATTATGAATGGAACTTATTTTATTGGTAATTAGCGATGAATTACCGATGGATTTAAATTCATTGGCAATTAAGAGTGCCAAATATTCGCGCTGATTCTTTATTTTTACCGACGGATTACTGACAGAATAACGATGGAATTATCGATGGATTTTCAATTCCGTAGGTAAAAAAATCACAAAATATTCGTGATTATCTTTAATAATTTATCGACGGATCACCAACCAATTATTCACATATTAGCGACAAAACACATTCCGTTGCTAATCCATAGCTATTTATCGACGGATTACTAACCAATTAGCGATGAAATAAAAAAAAAAGGTTAAAAATTCAGGCAGTATAAATGGGCGGTAAATTGCCAAATTTATGGACGGATTTTAGAAATTAACGACGAAAATTGTATCAAAAAAATTTGAATTTTTTTTACACCATAAATAGGCAGCAAAATGAATAAGTTAGCAACAAAAATTTTCAATTTAGCGATGAAATTTTCATCGGTAATTGCCACATCTATAATATAAATTCATATATTTTTCTCCCTCCTTCATTTTTTCCAAAAATCTATTTCTACTTCTTCTTTTTTACGTTCTTCTTCTTCTTTGTTTTTCTTTCTTCTTCTTTTTCTTATTCTTCTTGTTCACTTTTCTTTTTTTTTTTTTTTCCTTCTTCTTATTCTTTTTCTACTCCTTTTGCTTTTTTTCTTCTTCTCCTTCATGTTCTTATTTTTCCTTCTCTTCTCCTTTTCCTCCATTCTTTTACTTTTTTCCTCTTCTTATTTTTCTAGTTATATTTTTCTCTTTCTTCTCCTTCACCTTCTTTTTTTTTTTCCTTCATCTTCATTTTTCTTCTTCTCCTCTATTTTTATTTTTCTACTTTTCTTTCATCTTCTTTTTTCTTCTCCTCTTTTCTACTTTTTTCTTTTTTTCATCTTTTTTCTTTTTTCTTTTTCTTTTTTTTTTTGTGTTTATAATTAATTTTCTTTAACTACCTTAATTATTAATCAAATTTAATAATTATTAAGATGTAGTTAATTTAATTGATTTGATTATTATTTATGAAATAATAAAAAATTCAAAAATAATATAATTTAATAATTATTTAATTGATTTGATTATTATTTATGAAATAATAAAAAATTCAAAAATAATATAATTTAAAAATTTTTATTTTTGAAAATATTTTAGAATATTGACAGCCCAGCAACAATTTACTGATGAAAATTGCTAACAGAATACCGACCATATATTTTACAAACCAATTATCAACCAAATTATAAATATATCCCACCACTAAATTACCTATAGAATTAATAAATTTATCGATGGAATTTCCATTGGTAATTACCGATGGCATAAATTTTCGGTCAGCAATATTTTACGGACAAGGGTTTTACCAATGAAATATTTTCCATCTATATTTTATCGGCAAATCCAATTACCGATGGATTTTTATATTTTACCGATGGAACTTTCCGTCGGCAATAACCAAATTTCTTATAGTTGAATTAGAAATTATCTATTTATCTTAATATTTTTTAAAATTTTTTAGATTCACAAAGAAAGTTTGGAATAAAAACCAACAACTTCAATACTTCGTCACCCTTCAAGCCAAATGATAGTTAAAATTGAAGCCGAAAGGGCAAGTGCTATATCCTATTTTCCAAGATGTATTACTTAAGGAAACAAATTTTAGGAAAATAAATTTCTATATTGAGATTGAGCTAATTGTTGTATGCCAAGACGAATTGATGAAGGAAAATAAATTTCAAAAAATGAATTTTTATATTTAGAACGAGCTCATTGTCATAACAGAAGCTATGAGGCAACACAATATTACATAGATAAATAAATTTCAGGAAAATTAACTTCTCTACTGAAAATGAGCTCATTATCATAGCAGGTGCTTTAAGGAAGCAAGATGTTATGGATGGTGGAAGGTCATCAATAAAAGGGGAGAGGTCATGTCTTAGCATGGGAGGACGACCTTCACGTTGTACCCAGTTTGGGAATAGCACCTTGCTATATTGAGAACATGCCAACCGAAAACAATTATATTTTTATAAATTCATGCAAGTGGACTTTAAAATTATTATATAAACCAAATACTTTGGATCCGGAACACCTTATCATATGATCTTACATTTATTTTGTATAATCACATACATTTGCATTTATTTTATGACAAATATTAAGCAAGGACATGTCTAATCATGACTACATACATAAGACATCTGATAGGAATATAAGAATGCAAATGCAGGAGGCTGATATGTTTTGAACCTGAGAAGTTTTGGCACTATACCTTAGATACAAATGACTGATTGGCTTCTCCATCTTTCTTTATTTTTATTTGCCCTTTTACTTTACACTAAGATATGCAAATTGCAATCACCAAACCTTTCATTTTGCTACATTTTTTCAATTCCATTCTCTTCTATGGCTACTAAATTTTCTTCTTCTGATTAATCCTTCTAAATTTTGTAAATTTTTCATCTTTCTAAATTTTTCATTTTGAAGTGAATGAAACACGAGAAAAAATGCAAGTTGTTGCTTTTGTGCTTTTATGTTGTATTGAATAGTAAGCAATGGTTGTACAATAAATACTTCCTCTGTTTTTTTTTTTTTCATATAGTAATAGCTAATTTTTCACCAAGATTAAGAAAGTAATTTAACTAATTTTTTATACTCTTTTTTTCCCCCTAATTTAATCCTAATATCTCATTTATCCCTCTAATATTAATGTATGCCTTAAATTTTAATTACGATTCAATTTTCAATGAGGTTTTAAATGTTTTGTTGGAATGAAGGGAATACAAAAGTTTGCAAAAAATGAAGTTTATGCTCTGACCTATAGAAGGAAATTCATTTTTCGTCCTTATTTAGGAAAATTATGTGAAAATATGAAAATTTACTGTATTAAAAGCTTCATAAATGACTAAGATAAGGTATGATAGACTTTTCACATCGGTATGATTTTCAAAATTATCAAATTACGCAAAATTCGTTATATAAAGAGAACACCAAAAATACAAACTTTTTCTATATAAAAAGAATTGAAGGAATATAAGTTTTTTTTCTCTCTCTAGTTTGCCAAAATTTTTGTTTTTGCTACATTAATTGCTATGGAATATAGTTGAAGATAGGATTTTACGCATTTCTTTAGGTATATTGGAATCAACCAAAAAAAAAAAAAAAAAAAAAAAAAATTGGAATCAACCAAAAAAAAAAAAAAAAAAAAAAAAAAAAATTTATAAATGAATACATACAGGTGATTCGTCCCGAGAATCTCGATAAATTGTACCGCTTCTGTTTACAAATATAATTAAGTAAATAATTAAATCTCTTAAATTATAACAAAATTTTGATTAATTTGATTAAATTATTCTTATTGCATTTAATATAAATGAAAGTTAAATTGAAAAAACAAATTACTACTTTTTAACATCTCAAAACAACTTACATTTGTGAATAAAAAAACTATCTTAACAAATCATAATTTCAATTTTCAAACTTCAACAAATCCTACTCCTACCCCTCTCTCACAATGTGATATTTAAAATTTTTTTTCTTTTATCAGCACTACATATCTTTATCCTAAGTTTCAAAAATAGAGGCAGATTCAAAAAATAGTTTGTTATTAATTAATGAGAATTTGATTATTTAAAATTTGATTTTGAACTTTTAAAATTGGGAATTGGTGAAAGTTGAAAGTCAAGAACCTAATTAAGCTCGAGTCCTAACTCTGATAGTTAATTACTTTTGGCCTAATCTACACATTTGAGTAAAACTTAGTGATAAAGTTTAATTAAAAAATAAAGTTAAAACAATTAGACAACAGCTTGAATTAAAATAAATAATACAAAACAAGTTCAATAAAACTGTAAATTGTTATAAACAAATCCCACAATAAAAATTAAATTTATGAGTAATAATTTACACTGTCCTATGTCAAATCTATAGTAATAAATAAATAAATAAATAAATAAACTAATTAAGAATAAGAAATATATATAAGTTATAAATTCTAATCATTATCCACCAAACCCAATCCTATGCCAAAATTCCCTTCCTTTTCAATATTTTCTTATGAAAATTAGAGTGTTGGAGACTGTTGAAGGTAGGGCTGCAAGCAGGTCTGTACTCTGCCACTAGCCTCCCTGACCTATACCTTACCCCACAAGCGTTACACAGCGTTTTGGGCCCTAATGGCCCAATCCTCCATTGCGGCGTTTTATCAGTTTGGCAATGACTGCATCTTCTCTTCTCTACCCTAAAAACCCCATCATCGCTTTCCGCCAATTCCATCGACGACCAACCACGGTGCCGCCGCTGCTTCAGGACACGTCTGCTCCGCTGTTTTTTCCTCGGGAAGGCTCTGTATCCATTAAACTTCCCAAGGCCACGCTTTGAAAATCCTCCATATCCATTGAAGTTTTCCATTCCAGGCTTTGAAATCGGCTTCTTGTCTTCTGGTTTTTCAACGTTTTGCTCTGGAGTCGTCGGAGATAATTCTTTTACCTGTTTTTCCGAGGCTTCAAAATCAATCAAGGCCAATGGTTCATGTTCTGGCGTCAAACGCAAATCGTTTAAAGAAATTAGGTCACTAGAGAAGCTAGGAAACCATTCCAGTTCCTCTATTGGATCTTGAGGTATACAAAGTCCTGTCGTATAGTCATCTAAGTCGAGGTCTGGAAGATCACTTATGTCGTAGGCATCATTATAGATAACAGCCATTGAAAACAAGACAGGAAAGGACAGTAAAGGACAAAAAGATTCTTGCTTTATATGTAGAGAGGCCGAGGCCATGAAACGATGTAAATAAAGAAGGTTTCAAATTTCTAATTTGAAAGATTCTTAGCTAAGAAGTTCTTTACGATATGCATGCTAAGCGACCGACCTTAGCCTATTTCCAAGAAGGTTGGTATACGCTGTATGACCAATAATATTTCAACACGTGTCTTGCTACTATATTAATTGATTTATATTCTGCCAACTCGAAAATATATTTGCTTTCTCATTCATTAAGGAAATATCGGCCCACTTTAAAGATTTGTAACCATAATTTTTTTTAAGAAAATTCTATCCATATATATATAAAGAAAATTCTATCCATATTATATATATAAAGAAAATTCTATCCATATATTAAGAGGGTATTATATATATATATATATATATTATATATATATATATATATATATATAATCCTGAAGTAAAAATAAGTTATAAGAAGTTCTCTCCATTGATATTTTTATTTTTATTTTTTTACAAAATTTTGAATTTTCTTTAAATTTAATTTAATTTTACTTGATTGGATTTAATATTTAAATAGTTATAAAATAATTTTTACAAATTATTTACAATAAAACAGTCTATTGAATTTTAAATTTAAAAAATTATCCTTAAATTAACAACCGTATCCTATCTTTTTTTTTTGGTTTTTTACGATTTTTTTTAGACTAATCATTTTTTCTCTATCGGTTATTTATTATAAATTGAAATCACCGTGATAAATCAACTGAACAAGTATTTTGGATGGTGGTTTTATTAAATTGATACAAAAGGGAACCGAAGAAAATCCATAGCTTGAGAATTTGAAACATCTCGTAATTGTATTTTCAAAACTTTTAAATTTTAATTAAATTAAAAATTTAAATTTTCGATTGCATGTATAATAAATACCAAACAATTTTAATCCGAATCTAAATTTACAACTTGGGCCTAAACCCAAAGCATATCATCGCAACTTCTAACCGTGAAATTTCTAAACTCAAAGATTACTATTGGACGTTAAATATTAAATTAATTATTATTATTACTTAGATTGATTATCCTAAACTTGAATAATTATTGTATTATATTATAATACAATTGTTGTTGAATAAATTGAAGAAATGTTCTAGAATCTAATTAAAACAAATAAATAAATAAATCAAACCATCAAACCTAGAAGCCTCCAATAATTGAACCAAACCCTTTGAATTAAACCAAATCAGTTGTAAACCAATCAAGGAGGAAAGAGAAAAGCAAAAAAAACTCATCCCCTCCCTCTCCCGATCGCGCGACAGAACCCAACCCCATCACTCCACCATTTACGTCTTTTCCGGCCACCACTCAGTCGATTCCGGTGGCCGCTGACTACCTTGTTGCCGCTGACTCCCTTGTTGCAAGTGAACTTGCTCTCAACCTTTCCTCTCCTCGATCGGATCTCCAATGGCGCAGATGGCATCTCCTTCTCCCCTTAGTTATGTAGTCAAGATTTCTAGCAAGATTAGACGATTCCGGCGACTGGAGGCTTTGAAGTGAGTCTCGATCGACTTAATTTCTCCACGTGAACATTTCCCCTCCTTCAATTCCGGCGACAAGCCATGGATGGCAAAACCACAATGAATGGTAGCGGTGAGTGGCTTCGAGGCTCATTCCAAACAAACGGCTCACCCACTCCATGAAATGACATCATAAATGGGCTCCTCATCGAATTGCGACTCGAACGGTGTGATAGCTGCAAAATTCTGGGCAAACTCAATTTTTTGGCCACCGTGCACGACACCTGACGCTCCAACAAGGACCCAAAAGGAAAAATCATCTTCCTCGTGCGGATTGAAAAATTGTAGTCCGATTTTCAATGTTACGTTTTAAGACCTAGTTTCTTATTTTCGTTATAAATTTTAAATTTAAAACTATTAATTGATTAAGCTGATTTTAAGTAAATAATTAATTAAATATGGTAGATGTTATTATAATGATGGAGGATAGGCTTTAGATTGGATGGTTTTACCCTATGGATGAGCTGTGTATATAATATTAATATTTGTGATGTATAAAGTGCGAATAATCCAATTTATAGGGAAGTTGCTACTGAATTTTCGTCTTGGATTAATTATATTATTATTATTTATTTTATTTTCATTAATTAAGGTTTCCAGAATATTGTTTGGTTAAAGAATTATAATAGGGTTTGAATAGTGTGTATAACATATATAGATTAGAATAGGTAACTTAAGTGTAGGAAACAGAAATAAGGAATTACCTTAATCTAGAAAATTTGGATTAGATGATTGGGGAAAAAAAATGGATATAATAATATTAAAAATTAGAATTTAGAAAGGACAGTTAAAATTCATGAATAGTAAACTTAGTTTGGTTCTTTCTTTAGATATTCTTACGGGTTTAGGAATTAAATTTCAAATAGCAGGGTATCAAAAAAGGAACATAGCTTCTATCTAAACTGTATAACAGTGAGTAGTATTAGATAATTCGCATCATCAACCTGTATGTGCGTCCATACATACACGACTAAATGCTAGACATGCATTACTTATTAAATTGTTATTTTGTGTTGCATTATTTATTGCTATTAATGAATTACTTATTAAATTGTTATTTTGTGTTGCATTATTTATTGCTATTAATGATTTGAATAGTTGCGATGTGCTTCATGTTTGCTTTGCTTGTGTGGAGTTGTGATAAAACGGGTCACTGTGGGGTTTACGAGGGCGATCTATGATACCGTCGGCCATGTATGGGGAGATCGACGCCCCCGTATGCATCTGGTGATATATGATATGGAAAATAATAGGGTGACCTCTTGTTGGTGTGGAAAAGAAAACATAGTATAAAAAAATTGGAGGGTTGGTCAAGTGAGGTTGAGACCGATCGACAATGTATGGGGATCGGCTCCCTAATGCACACGTAATGAGAGGGCGGGACATGTGTGAGAACGGCTTGTCAAGGGTTTTGGTGACGCCTCTGACCAATTTTCATGTGATGTGATTATGTGAAGGTGTTAATATTTGTGATTGCTGTTGGTTTATCATTTGTGTGATAGATTGCATGATCATATAACTAATCGAATGAATAGATTGATTTATTTATGTATTTGTGTGATTGTGTGGAGTGAGAGGATTATTTAACCCTATTAATTGAGTTTGGCGCTCACCCCTGCCTCCTTATTTTTTTTTTTCAAGTAATAGGAGAAAAGAAGAACCCTATAGATCAAACCGAGTTGAAATTTAAATATAGAAAATTATTAATAGTTGTATTAAGCATGTAAATGAAAAGGACTGCAAATTAAGGATTTTCGCAATTGTACTCCAATTGAGTTGTAATTGAATAATATGGTTACATATATTAATTATGTGAATTGTACTTTAATATGTCTGTGGAACATAGTTAATGGGCCTGAAGCCATGACTATGATTAGAATATAGGTTACTACGGGCCTAGGATGCATTAAGTCCACCCAAGCCGTAGTGCTGGTCCGACCCTTGGAACAGGGTCGTGACAGAAGCAAACCCTTCACTGCTAGCGAAATCGTCCATGACATCATCCTCGGAATTTATTTGGCGTCAATACCACATCTTCCATTGTACTTACAGTAACATTGTACTTTTATATATTAACTATCAGATATGATCACATAACAAGTTACGACTCTTAATCGATTATTTAGATATGTGCATGTATTTAGGGGCTAAGAGTGAGGCAGATCAAACTTATATTGCTTATTGCACAACGATTTATTCAAACTTTCTTGGGGAAGAACTTCATTGCACTCCATTTTTTGACGCCATGGCTTTCTTGAAGTTATGGTATCTTTATTTTTTCCATGTTTTTTTAATTGTTTGATTATGATTATTGCATTGGGTGTTTTTCCTTCCATTGAATTTCTCATTTCTCTGCATGTAAGTCTGTCTTTTCATATAGAATCTCGACCATGTTATATTAGGAAGATGAACAAGAAGGGATCTGCCTCTCAAAAGAGAGTTTATGAAGCAGTGGCAAAACCTATTGTTGAGCTAAGGAATTGAGAAGGGTAGGCCAAAGATAAGGAATATGCATTTGTTTTGGATATGTTCTTTATGCTGGTGTACCCCTTACATATAATTGTCATACAAGCAATTAAATTTGCTAACGATTGGATAGCAAGTTAACTATGTGTTGTGAGTGTTGCAGAGTGTATTGAATGGATATGATGGGACAGATATGGCTTACGATCAAATAAGCACTGGAAAACTTGTACAGTTGGTAGATTATGCAAAATTGCTGCATTTGAGCGTGTAGTATCATGGTTAGAGCTCTAGAGGACATAATTGCTAATGCAATCACTTCTATTGCAGGTACTGAAGTATTTATGTTTACCTTGACGCTAATTTTTACTTGTCAAAGTTAGTGTATCTTTCATGTTCATGAGCATATGATCATGATTGTTTATTTGCTCATGCTTATAACCAAATAAGCAATCCGTGACATTAGTTAATTTTACCATTGGATTTTTGCTGTTTTTCTTTAATTTATTTATGGATAATTATTATATTAGTTTTATCTCTGTACTATATTTGAATTTTTTTTTTGTTTTCTTTATTCTATAACTTTATTATATATTAAGAGCTAAAAATAAGCTAACTTCTTTTTTTCAAGTGATACTTTGAATATTTACTATAATATTAATGTTTATTTCAATAAGTAAATATTGTATAATAATTAAAGTAAGCTAATTATTATTATGTGTCGGCTTCTTTATATATATATATATATATATTATATATATCATATTTTTATAATAATAATAATTAAATTGTATTTTACTTTTAAGTAATTAAATTAAAAATAATATTTATCTATATATACGTTTGAATTATAGACTTTAACTGAAACCTAGATAATTTTTTAATTTAAGTAATTAAATGTTGGGGTATGTAGTTAATCTCACATCAGATAAATACAACCCCTAAAAAGGGCAAATAATGTGAAGGGTAAACCAATCAAAATAGCTTAGGTAATTTGGTGTTAAAGATAAGCTCAACTCATTATATTTGTAAAAGATTCACATATATTTCATTTTCGAAAATTACCTTAAAAAAAGAAAGTTAAATCTTTTCTTTATTCTACTTACATAAATGAAAAAGATTTTGGCTTAAACATCTTTGGTAACAAATAATTGAGTATTTACAAAAGATTCTTATATCTTTTTATCTTTGGAAAGTCCAAATACTCTTTAAAGCTAAAGATCAACGCTTTCTAAAAACGTGATCTTCATTCCTCTTATAAAAGATGTTTTTCTTCTTTGGAAAACGTTGAGATTTTTATAAAAGTAAGAGTCCATTGAATAAAAGATTTAAATCTCTTAAAGCTCTCTTTTAAAATCCCTTTATTTCTTTTCATCTATTTGCTTCAAGAAATATTTTTAAGAGAGAAGAAAATTTAATAACAATATTTTCTGAAAAACAGTTCTGATCTTTAAATCTATTTTCTAAATCTTTTTCTATTCTTCTTATGCTTATAATTGCATTTCTCTCTGTCTATATAGATTTTGTAATCTATTGTAGACTAGAGGTCTTTAAATGAAAAATTTTTGTGTAATAGCTTAGGTGAAAGTAATAGCTTAGTTGAAAAGCCTTGGTGTAATAGGACTATCAAACGACCTTTCTCCTTGTGATAATTGCATTTCTCTCTGTCTATATAGATTTTGTAATCTATTGTAGACTAGAGGTCTTTAAATGAAAAATTTTTGTGTAATAGCTTAGGTGAAAAGCTATGGTGTAATAGGCTATCAAACGACCTTCTCCTTGTGTGACTTGATGTGAGTTTCTATTCTGCAAAAATAGAAGGGGTTGAGGTTGACTAGAACCTTAAGAATATCTAGTGGGACAAAGGTTAGATCTAGGTGTTCATCTATTTCATTGTAATATTGGTTTGTCTCTTACCCTTGAAAAGAGATAACATAGCGGAGGATCTCAAGATGAGTCTTGGGGAGTGGATATAGGCGAGTTATGCCGAACCACTGTAAATCTATGTGTTCATTTTCTTTTATTTTTTGAAGTTCTGCTTGATTATATTCTGTTTACACAACTGTTTTATCTTTTTAAGAAATGCAAAGTTGTTATTGGATTTCTATTTCTAAATGTGAATAAGTTTTATCTTTGTGGAACATTAGAATTCTGGATTTCTGTAGTGTGATTATACCAAGTTCTAATCTGTCCTTTTATATTTAGTGTAAATCACAATATGAATTATAATCAGTTTTCTAATTTTGCTTAAAGTTTTATGAGACAGTTCTAAAAAGCAATAACTGATTCTTTACAGAGTCTTTTTAAATTTGCTTAAGCTTTGAAAAGTAGTTCTAAATGCAATAACTATTCTTCACAAAGTCTTTCTAAAAATTACTTAAGCCTTGTGGAGCAGTTCTAAACGCAATAATTATTCTTCACAGAATCTTTTTAGATTTGCAACAAGCTTTGTGAGGTAGTTCTGAACTTGATAACTAACTCTCACAAACGCTTTCTAATTCCGTTGTAATAGAATTCTGATATTTTGTTTTGAAATCTAAATTTTTAGAAAACCTAATTAACCCCTCTTTTGGGTCGTACTATATATAAACGGACCCACAATTTCTTACTTTGAAATAAGAGCTTTCTCTGCGTATTTTTAAAGTTTTAGGAAAAAAAACAAACAAAAACAAAGACAAGGGAGGGAAACCAAACCGATTTAGGTTACATGGCATGCGGCACCTAATTGCCACTTGTCTTGTATTTTTCCTCGTCATAGCATGTGTTATTCACTCAATTGTTCTGCTTCTCACTAGGCATGCATAAATTACAAAAAAAAAAAGAAGTTAAAGTTAAGGTGGCCACAAAACTTTTTTGTACAAGTTCCAAGGGCAAATGATATATTCAACCCTTTTTTTTAAAGGTAGATAAATAAATTTTCTGCATTTGAAATTTGAAATGAAAACATAGATAAGAAAATTATCATGTTATTATTTAAATATTAAATATTAATAATTTTTAAATTGATAAAACAATTAACATCCAATCAAAATATAGAAAATTAAGAAGATAAATTCAAAATTTTCTAAACAAATCGTAATAGAATACTGAACAAAGAGAGTTTTAAACCTTCTCTTTGATGGAGGAAAGAAAATTTTAGTCGAGAAGTAGATGAAAAAACTGCTCACGTTATTTCATCAAAAGTTATTTATTTATTTGTTCTTTTATGTTTGCATTATAAATTGACTTTCATGATCAATTACTTCCATTATGTTTATGATATCAGGACTAATTAAGGATTTCAAAGGTTTTAAAGGTCAAAGTCTTTTATGCCTGTAGGGACTCATTGAAATAACAAATTTATCCCTTTTAATTCTGCTACTACGAAACAACTCAACATGGCACTAGGAGTTTTCTATATATTTATGAAAACACCATTTTGTTCCCAAGCTAATGCAGAAATAGAGAATGATGATATTATGTAGTAATACGTAAGTCATTCTTTACCATCAGATATTTTATCTTTTAATAAAAATTCGTTGGATTAATACAAAAAACTTACTAATGACTAAACAAGTTATATTCTATTTTTTATTTCTTTTCATATAAAAGTTGGAGAATATATACACACAAGAAGCACATGTATGCACTTGCAACTTGTTCATCATTGTTGAAATTAAAGCTAGAGAGTGAGATTGGAAAACAATGAAATCATTAACTCCTTCAAGCAACAACGATTTGGATGTTCCAAGCGATGATTGGATCCATTAAATTCTCAAGGGTTACCATGGATTTTGTGTCGCCACTGTAGCTCTTTTTAATAACGCTTACTATCTCTCTTTAGCACTTGATTTTCTGTCTCATGTACTTTCTTTACGATCATGACCTCGACTCTCTTATTCGAGATCACTTCCTAATCATTAGAGGTATTAGTTTTTCTATTATTTCTTGTTAGTGTTAGGTATGATAAAAAATCAATAGCCTCGTAAACGCATAATGCAGATAATCAAAAATAATGTGTCAAAGAGATATTTCAACAAATAGGTGGTAGGCAAGAAAATGAACATAGAAGAATTGCATATCTTTATTCATCTGATGTCTTTCTTTATATAGGAAAAAAAAAGCAACAAACCCACAATTACAGCAACTAAAAGAAAAAATGCTAGCTGAAACATGGGAACAAGAACTTATGACTCTTACTGTAACAGTTTATGTTGACTAGAAAACAAAATAACTACAAAATATTTGCATTAATATTTGACATACTCCCCCTTAATGCATAAATATTTGACTCCTAATTTTTCTCTAAAGGAAATGAACTTCTGCAAAGCAAGTGGCTTGGTGAATACATCAGCAACTTGTTCTTTAGTGTTGCAGTAAGTCATTTGAATGCTCCCTTGTTGGACCAACTCTCCAATAAATGGTGACCTGTCTCTATGTGCCTTCTAGGACTATGAAACATTGGATTGTTTATCATGGCAATAGTTGATTGATTATCACAATAAATCAATGTTGCCTGGACTTGAGTTTGCTGTATATCTTCCAAGATTCTTCTCACCCACACTACTTAACATGCTACTACAGTCGTATATTCAGCTTCAGCGGAAGATAATGCAGTAGTTGCTTGCTTCTTTGAGCTCCAAGAGATAGCGCCACTTCCAAGAGTAAAAATGTAACCTAACGTACTTTGTCGATCATCAATTGAACCTGCCGAATCACTATCATAGTACCCATACAAATTAGAATTATTAGTTCTGCCATATCGAATTCCAAATGAGCTGGTTCCTTTTAAGTATCTCAATATTCTCTTAGCAGTACAATAATGTAGTTTACTAGGACTTTGGATGAAACGTGATAAAATACCGGTGGCAAGAGAAATATATGGTATACAATTTGTCAAATAGAGCAGGTTCCCAACTAAAGTGCGATGGAGATAAGCATCCACCCTTTCTTCTTCATCATCCAAACTATATTTTTTATTATTAATCATAGGAGTCTTCGTCGGCTTGCCCTCTTCCATTTTGAACCTTGCAAGAATATCATTAACATATTTTTCTTGTGAAAAGAAAATCCCCCCCTATGATATTGCTTCACTTCCGACCCAAGATCATTCCCATGTCACTCATTTCAAATTTAGAAATCATAAGATTTCTAAATTCATTCATCAAGGCAATGCTTTTTCTAGTATAGATCAACTCGTCCACATAAAGACAAAAAATTAGTAATTCATCACCTTCTTTAGATTTGACATACAAGGTGGGCTCCTTGTACTTTGCTAAAATCCATATGAGATGAAATGATTGTTGATCCTCCTATACCAGTCTTGTGGAGCTTGCTTTATGCCATATAATGCTTTCTTTAAATGATAGACTTTATTTTCATGACCTGCTACTTCATAGCCTTGTGGTTGTTGAACAAACACTACTACATTCAAAACACCATAAGGAAAGCTAATTTTATGTCAAATTGATAGACATTCCATTTGTATTGAGCTACTAAGGCTAAGAGAGTGCGTATAGTATTGAACCTCGCAACAGGTGCGAATGTCTCATCAAAATCCACACCCTCTTGCTGCATATATCCCCAAGCTACTAGCCTAGCTTTGTATTTCTAGACTGACCCATTTGATTTGAACTTTGTCTTGTAAATCCACTTCAAGCCAACCATTTTTGATCCATTTAGAAGAGTGCACAACTACCATGTCTTATTTTTCTCCAAGGCCTTCATCTCTTCATCCATTGCAATATGCCACTCTTTGAATTTCATAGCTTCATAAAAGGAACTTGGCTCTTGCACTTGTGAAATTTGACATTTCTCTCCAGCTATATAAATTTCAGTTTGACTCCTCCATTTTCGCGGTGGAGTTTTTATGGAGGAAAGAGAGTTAGAAGATAATGGGCTTGATGAATTGAGTGGGCTAGCTGGGATGGATGGTGAGGAAGGACTGGAATCTTCCTCTTTGGCATCATCATTCATCAATTTATTTTCTCCTTGATCATTGTCTTCCAAAAAAGAACCTGGAACACATTTCTTATCCTATTTCCAAGTATTTTTCTCATCAAATACAACATCATGACGGATTAGTAACTTCTTGGTGAGAGGATTATGAAATCGATATCCTTTACTTTCAATGTTATATCTTATAAAAATGCACTTTAATCTATTTTCATCAAGCTTTGTTCTTTTTCGAGAAGGAATATGCACATAAGCAATAGAACCAAAACCTTGAGGTTAGTTACCTTAGGCTTCCATCCATGCCAAGCTTCAAAAGGTGTTTGATAAGGAAGTGTTGTTGTGGGACTCTGATTAAGAATATAGGTCGCTATGTGAATTGCTTCTGCCCAGAAATGTTTTAACAATCCTTAGCTTCAAGCATGCTCTCTCCCATCTCTACCAGACTTTTATTCTTTCACTCTGCAACTCCATTTTTTTGTGGAGTGTCGGCAGCTATCAATTGTCTTTGAATACCAGATTCAGAATAGAATTCGTCAATTTCCTCCGACATAAATTCACCTCCTCGATCTATCCACAACACTTTCATGGGTTGCCCACTTTGCTTTTCAACAAATGACTTGATTTTTTTTTTTAAGATTAGTAATGCCTCTGATTTTTCTTTAACCAAAAATACCGAAGTCATTCGACTAAAATCATCAAAAAAAAAAAAAATAATAATGAAGTACATGGTGCCAATTAAAGAAGGAGTGCGCATTGGTCCGTAGACATCAGGATGTATTAACCCGACTGGTTGTCTTGCTCTTCTTGAATTCCCTTTAGGAAAAGAGTCCCTGTGTTGTTTTCCAGCTAGGCAACTTTCACAAACATCATCCACATTCTTTATCAAAGGCAAACTAGTCACCAAAATTTGTTCATGCAACATTCCCCACCATTTAAAACTTAAATGCCCATATCTATGATGCCAAAGCCAATTTTCATTATGCAAGGTCACCTTCAATGTTGATTTGACACATTTATTTAGGCTCAAAGGAAATAATTTATTTTTAGTCATGGGTACCTCAAATAAAAGATGTTGCTTAGACTTTTCTTTGTAAACATAACAAGTTGAATCTTCAAAGACAAGTGAAAAATCCTTCTAAAAGGAATTGCACGACACTCAACAAGTTGGAATCTAAATCAGGTACAAAAAGTACATTTTCAATGCAATCTAAACCATATGCATTTATTTGAATAATACCTTATTTTTTAGCCTCTCGAACTGTCCCATCACCTATTGTCACACGACTATTTACCGACTTATCCAAGCTAGTGAAGAAGTCAAGCTGACCCATCATGGGCATACTGCATCCACTATCTATATACCAAATGTCACACCCAAAATTGATGGTGCGATGTTCCTAGGGTCCAAGTAGGCTTAAGGCCATCAAGCAACTAATCCATACATTCTATAGATTGCATTATTTATCTTGATTATCTTGATTAATCCAATTGAACTAATCCAATTGCACATTATTTATCTTGATTAATTACTTAGGTGGGCTATAATCAATTTATTTACTTTTATTTAATTTTCGGCATTATTAAATACAATCTTTCACACATTATGTATAATCACATATCATACTCTCATAATACTTTTTACATTATAGCTTACATACATTCTATACTAATATCATTCACAAAAGTACTATAAAGCAACTAAAGTTCATATAACTTATCAACAACTTATAATATCTAACAATTATTTACATTATTCACGTGCTTCTTGTTGGAAGAAGGAAATTAATAAGCGGACGGATTTGAATCACCTCTAGCTGAAACCAGAAACGCTTGAGTGAGTCCTCAACTCAGTGAAATTATAGTGTCTTATCGGTAGCATGTACACAGAAAAGTATCTCAAGGTTCAATATTTATAATAACACAGGATGGTAGTATCATTATAACTAGTCAATAGAAATACGTCTATATAAAAGGATTCATAGTAATCGGATCAATATCACAAAGGAAATATCAATAATATGACAGATAATCACATAGCTAGCACTGAAGAAAACATATCACTATGTACATTTCAGTGCTACCACACATTACACACTTTAGGGCAGTAACTTCTCCCGTTATTTATAAATCTCTATATGCACATAGCCTGATATAACCCCCATCAAGTTGGGATTCTATCATATTGGCTAAACAAATGGCTTGGTACAATCAAATAGGCCTAAAGGCCAAATCAAGTTGGGATTCTATCATATTGGCTACATATTGGCTAAACAAATGGCTTGGTACAATCAGAAATAGGCCTAAAGGCAAATCATAGTTTGGGATTCCTATCATATTGGCTAAACAATGGCTGGTACAATCAAATAGGCCTAAAGGCCAAATCAAGTTGGGATTCTATCATATTGGCTAAACAAATGGCTTGGTACAATCAAATAGGCCTAAAGGCCAAATCAAGTTGGGATTCTATCATATTGGCTAAACAAATGGCTTGGTACAATCAAATAGGCCTAAAGGCCAAATAGATTTCATAATTCACAATCTCAATATCACAATTAACAAACGGTTTCAAATACCAATAATGGTATGCATTTGATTAAAAGTTCCAATGCAACATGGAAAGGTTAGACACTATAACTCACCTTGAAAGCGAGAATTCAGTTCCTCTCGATCACTTATAATTTCAAAACGGTTTCATGGTAATCCTTGACCTATATTCACATTTACACATATATAGCACACTTAGTTTTGTTTTTAGCTCTTTATAAACCACAAAGTTCCTTAATATTCTTATTCATTAAATTCGCATTTGAAATTTTAGGGTCAGAAAATAAACATATTGAGCTTAATTGTCATTCATTTTATACTTATGTTCATGGTTAAATCATCTATATTTAAGTTTGCTCAATTTAGTGCAAGCTTAGTGAAACACAGAATTTTCAGCATGAGTCACTTGCATTCACTTGACTATATTTTCATTTCTGAAAGTCCTTTTGCTATGAAATTTTTACACAATATTCCCAACATCTCAAGGCACTTCTGCATTAAATTTCATGAATTTTAGGATTCATTTACCTATTCAAATAATCTAATTATAGAACCAGAATTTTCAGGTTTCACATTCTGAGTAGTCTGCTTTCTTTTATTAATATCTCCATTTTCTCTTATCATTTGGACTTTCATTTTTAACACAACCTTCTTAACATCTTAGGCTACATATCTGTAAAATTTCATAATTTTTAAATTTTATTTGCATGGTCAAACAACCTAAACACAATAGTGAAATCTGTTTAGTGTGTCACACTGAACAGTCTGTATTCACTTAGCTATAAATTCTTTTCCTTTCATCTTATGAACTTGTCCTTTTACCAAAACTTTGCCAACATCCCAGCCTAGCTCTCTATAAAATTTCATTAATTTTGAAAAGATGATTTATATATTAAACTTAACAAACTACGGTGGCTGAATTGAAGCAGCTTCATTGAGACAGTTTTGGAAATTGTAGTTTCTAGCTTTTACATGATCAATTCCTTTCAATCAAAACCAATTTCTAGCATCCTAATTGATCAATTAATATGTTTAAAAGATAATTTTGAGTTTTGATTCATCAAATTAAAGATTTAAGCTTAGGAAAATATGAAAATCAAAGGCACAATTTGAATTTCATACCTTTCTTTTAATTTCTTTTGTTTTCTTTTAATTTCTTTTGTTTTCTCTTCTCTTGTTTCTTTATTAGCTTCACTTTTCCTTTGATAATATTATTGGCACTTGGTATTTTGTGATGAATGAACTCTAGCAAATGTTAGAATGATAGAAAGAAGAAGGAGAAAGGAGAAGCCTATGTTGGGCACGAAGAGGTGAAGAGGAGGGTGTTGTCTCCTAATACATGTGTCCTTTTTACTAAAGAGATTATTCACCTATACACTCGCCTCCTTTATCTTAACTAAAGAGGTGAGCCACTCATATACTTGTCCTTCTTTTCCTTAGATTGGAAATGAGTCACTTGCTTTGTTGTAGAAAAGATGGGTTACCACTTGTATAGGTAAAATGTCCCTTTATCCCCTTTATCCACTTTGGTTAAGTAGTAGTTTAGGTGCCCTTTTAGGTCATTTCAAATTTTTATTACTTAAGCTTCTTTTTTTTTTTTTTTTTTTTTTTTTTTTTTTGTATTTTCTACATTTATAGTGTTTGGTTTCACTTAATTAGATTAAGATTATATTTTATTTTTATGTTTTTTTTTTTTTTTTTTTTTTTTTGTATTTTAATTTATAGTTTTTGGTTCACTTAATTAGATTAAGATTATATTTTATTTTTATGGAATTATGGTGCATTTCAATTTAATTTCCATAGGAGATTTTTGATTCATTTGTGTTGTCATACCTTAGATGTTTTAGAATTTTAATACTTTATAAATTTCACTTCATTACATTTCAATAGTCATTTACGGTTTTAATAGGTCATATACTTATAAAATAAAATTTTATTACTTATTTACTTAATTTGCATAATATTTGGGGTTTAACATTTGGGTTTACTTAATCTTTATTACTTATAAAATAAATCTTAACAGAATAACACGCCAGAAATAAGCTTTCAGTTTCATCAAACTTGGCTTGTTTGTTTCAGATGACAAAATCTTTCTATATGGTCATACCTTTTGCAATAGTAACATTGCTTTGACATCTTATTTTCACCTTTTTCAGCTCCTTTTAAACGTTGATGATCGCCATTAAACCATTCTCCTCTTCCTCCTTTGCCTCTTCGTTCACCTCGAAAGGCTCTTCCTCCTCGACCTTTGTTGAAGGAACTTTGATGACTTGATTCTCCAAATTGGCTTTCTCTTTGTGTTGGGACAGCGGTATTTTGCTTGAAATGCACTTTACAACGAGTTCTTGTCATGTCTGCTCATCTATCTTCATGAGAATACAAAGAACCAAGCAATTCATCAGTAATAACTTAAATTTTTTGACTCCTCTATGGCGGCTACCACATGATCATATTTCTTAGGCAGGCTCCTAAGAATTTTTTCAACTACTGTTCCCTGACTTCCACCTTGAGGACCAGCTGGCCATCAATGGAGGGGGTAATTGTTAGGGTAATTAGTGGATTTGAGTTTAATTGTAATTACCTTTTGAGTAATTGGGTAGAATTGCAAGTATCTTTTAATTAGTAGTCTGAATTGTAAGTCTTTCCTTTTTATATTAAGTCTTTGACAGCTTGGCAGTGATTTGGCCTATTTAGCTTATGTGGATGCCATGTCATTACTGCTATATATATTGTAGGTTGACTTTTTGTCAAACTAATGAATGAAAACCCTAATGTACTTTCCTAATTCTCTCTTTTCCCTCTCATTTCTTTCCCTTTCTTCTATTCTTCCACTAACCAAACAACTCTGGATCTCTTCCAGAGCCAAATCGGTTAGGTATATGATCCCTTACCCTAACAACAATCTCCATCATTTCATTGTAGTAGTTCTCCAAAGTGTCACTGTCACTCATAAATAGACTCAAATTTGCGTCGAAGAGTCTGAAGTTTGACAGTGAGTACCTTGGCATTACCTTGGTATCCTTTTTGAAGAGCATCCAAGCTTCCTTCGACTTTATGGCAGCTGCAAAGCGAGGAAAAATTGATTCATGCACTACTTGTTGAATGAAGAAAAGGGCTTTAGCATCTTTCTTGCTGATGTCTCTATTATCAACTGCTTCAGCTTCAGTGTAGCCTTTTTCCACAAAATTCAATAAATCCTAGGACATAGATAATGTCTTCATCTTCGTGCTCCAGATTTCATACCCATTGCCTTGCAACTGTGGCAGTGCTGGCGACGAAGGATTAGCACCATTGTTGTTGGCCCTCTACTCTGTTTTAGAAAGAAGAGTAGGAAATGTTAATGAAAAGACAGACCTGCCTCTGATACCATATGACAAAAAATCAGTACCTCACAAACATACAAATCAGAAAATCAAAATGACAAATAATATCTGAAAGAGATATTTCAACAAATAGGTGGTAGGCAAGCAAAATTAGCATAGAAGAACCGCAAATCTTTATTCATCTGATGGTTTTCTTTATACAGACAAAAATAAGCAACAAACTGACTTCCACAAAATAAGCAACAAAGCCACGATTATAGCAACTAAAAGAAAAAATGCTAGATGAAAGATAAGAACAAGAATTTGACTGACTCTTGCCGCAAGAGTTTATTTTGACTATAAAATAAATAAACACAAAATATCTACATTAAGGTGTGACAAGGTTGGTGTGATTTTGGAAAATAATTTCTTGGATCACATTATGAAGAATGGGTATGTGTTACTGTTAAGCATTTTATATAGAGATCTGGAAGAGATATCCTTGGTAAAACAATATCAAGAGAAGTGCCTGTTAGTTTTTAGTTTATGCCTTGCAGTCTTACAAGGAATGCTTATCTTAGTTTCAGATATCATTGATCTCTCTTGCAATTCCTTGACTGTTACCTCACCACTAGATTTTGATAGCTTGAAACAACTTCAACAACTTCAAACTTTAGATATCTCGAGGTACAAACTATCGGGCACAATCCTAAGCCACTTGAGTTCTTATTTAAGCATTTATATGAATGGTAATTTTCTTTAAGAAACAATACTGCAGTATCTAGGTGCTTTAAGAGGATGAAATGAGTTGGATCTTTAATGCAAGTGTCAGGGATGACACCACAAAATCTGGGAAAACTTCCATTTCTACAATATTTAAATCTCTCCTTTAATGATGCAAATTTAATTGGTTTTGGGAGCTATAATTTTTTACACAAAGGACAGCAATTGCAATTAAAGTTTTCTATCCTTCTCAGAAAGCAACCTCATGGAGCTTCATCTCTAATTGCAAAGCCCTTGGAATCATCTGTAATGAGATTGTCTTGCTTAATTTCTTTACCAAATATGAAACTTTTAAATTCTTAATTCTGAAAAGTTGAGGTTTTTTATTGAACTGAATTCATTTTTGAGACCCACAAAGCAACAAATATGTGTTGCTGAATGAAACACCATTACATTTAAATTATACGAGGGAAAAGAAGGAAATCAAGCAAACTAATAATTTAGAATACAAAATAAAGTCAAATTAGACATGAATTAAATCTGAGAATGGCTAAAGCCTCTTCAGCCATCAGCTCTTAACTTTGCCTGCAAGCATGTAAGTCTTAAAAATAACAGTTCTGACCAAATCAGAGCCACCCCAAGCAGTCTCAAACTCCTTAATAACATTTTCAGACAACAATTCCACACCTTGTTCTTTAGCAGTACCAACAGCTGACCATGATCCCACCAACCCCAGAAGCCCTTCAAATGACATCTCCTTAGGCATGTCTAATATCATCGGCTGCCCTTCACAGCCTACGCCAACATTTTCGAAAGGAAATGGAAGGGTCTTATAACAATCAAATGCATATTTTGTCTTTGGGTTTTGAAAAGGAATGGACCTCTCGTAGAAACCCCACATGATAGCATCAAATTCTGGGTTAACTTGGATTAAATTATAAGTCCAAACAGCAATAACTCCTCCAGGCTTTCGTAGCAGACGCTTGACCTGAGAGTAGAATCTTTCTAGATCAAACCAATGGACAGCCACAGAGACCGTCACTAGATCAACAGAATTTTCGCCTCCAATTAAGGATACAACTTCATCATCAGACATTGATGATGGAGTGTGCAAGTATTGTACTCGAGGATGTTTCATTGCGTGCTCTAATTGCTCTTCACTTATCTCAGTTGCAATTACTCGGTCGTAATATTCTGCGATCTGCAAATTCAGGCCAGATTATCAAATTTTTGGCCTTTCAATTGACCATAAAAATTCAAACTTCAGCTAATTTTTTCAATTTTACCGATTTGATAATCAGACATGGAAACTTGCTCATAAGTGGAAGGCTGCTCTTTCCACAGCCTAAAAATGTGCCATGTTCTGTGCACTGAGCCACCCATATTATAGGGTGATAATGGATTCAAAAGAAAAAGAAAGATATGTGAGAAAGAGGACTAACACTAATAGCTGCTTGTCCGTTGCCGGTGCCGGCATCCCAAGCTAGAGAGTGGCGAGGGGTGAGAGAAGCCAGCATGGAAAACCATTGGGTGGGAAAAGTTGGCCTGGCATCTCTGTAAGTTCCGGCTAGTTTGTCGTATAAACCTGCCATTTGTTGTTCTTTCTCTTGAAATCTGGTGTGATAGTATTATGTCGAGGAGCCAATCTATATGTATTAATATAATAAATTATTGGATACACTGTTTTGGTTTTGGAAGAAGGCAAATTTGAACTGCAACTTCAATTGAGAAGGACAAAAGAAAAAAAAAATATTATATAAAAAGAAAACTTATGCAGCGTCGGTTCAGAGATCCGCAGCTTCAGATAAGATAATTGACTTCAACCATTACCTTTGAAGGATAATTCTATGACTAGAGATGGCCATATTACGGTTCTCTGGAACCATCGGTTCGAACCAGTCTGGAATCGTAATCGGAACCGGGCTGAACTGGAACGAAACTAGAGAATTTCGGTTCGATTCCGGTTTCAAATTTTTTGGAACAGGAACCGGCGGTTCTAAAGAACCGGTCAGAACCGGACTGGAACCGCCGGTTCCCCGGCCAGTTAGAACCGCCGGTTCGAACCGGTCCCCGGCCAGTTAGAACCGCCGGTTCGAAACCGGCGTTCTAGCAACTGTCAGGTTTTTTTTTTTTTTTTTTTAAATTTTTTTATGAAATCTCTTAATTATGTCAAGTCTTTAAAAAAAATTAATTGAAGTATTTTTAATTTTTTAGGTTATCTTTTAAATTTTGTTATGTTTCAAATATATTTTTTTTTAAACGCGTCTTCAAGTTTAAAATTATGTTCAAACTTTTTTTAAATAAAAAATAAATTCAGGTTGAAAATTTTTTTAAAAAAAATAATTATTATTCATCTTAAAAAAAAATAAATTAATTGAGTATTTTTAATTTTTTTTAGGTGGAAATCTTTTAATTTTTTTTATTCTTTTAATTTTTTATGTTCAAATATATATATATTTTTAAAAACGGTCTTCAAAATTTAAAATTTAAAATTATGCGATTCGCCGGAAAACCGATCGGAACCGTTCAGTTCCAAACCGGAACTGGAACCGGAACTTTTCGGTTCGATTCCGGTTTCAATTTTTTTGGAGCCGGAACCGCCGGTTCCGGAACCGGCATCGAACCGTGGCCACCCCTATCTATGACTAATGCATTGATACAGTTTCAATTTTAGTATTTTGAATAGATAAATTTCTTTTAATTAAATACATTTAGTGAAATTAAAGTAAATAATTTATTTAATGAACATTAAACAAGTACTCAATTCATACTTGTTTTGTTTCTTGAAGGTGTTTTTTTCTAGCTCGTGGGGCTCATTAGTCACTTTAATAATTAGTCACTACTCTATCTAATGCGATTTTCAATGTCATCCTTAATGAAATTTTGAATAATTTAAAATAGTCTTAGTTGTAGTCAATTTGAAAATTACATTTTATATCAACGAGTGTTTGGATTAATGATTCGGCACTCTTTCTCCTGTGAAGTCGAGGGTTCGATCCTCATGAATGGAGCAAATACTTGCTTGGAGCACTTTGCCCTTTCTTAGGCAAATTTGGTGTGAGCAGAATTTAGTTCTAGCTTAATAGACTCAGGATACCTGTGGTTAAGAGAAAAAAAAAGTTATATATGATTATAGGGAAAATTGAAGTTTATTTGGCGAGGATAGAACGTTTCTTTTATGTAATCTTTTTTATTAATTAATTAACTTATTTATTTATTTATTTATTTTGAATTTGCAACTTAGAAAAATAGAGAAACAAAATTAGATCCTAACATTATTTGCTTTGTAATTTTCATTTAATGACTTGGCTATAATTTTTTTTTGTCATTAAATTACAACATTTCCAGTTAAAGAAGGGGTTGTTTTTGAAATTCAAATTGGTTATTTTTTTTAATATAATTTATTTCTTTTATACGTTGAGTTTCGAAAAGAGTTATATTTTTAATAACAATTTTTTTATTTTTTATTTTTTATTTTCTTTTTCGTCATTGAATTAATTTATAATTTTATTTTCTTTTTCGTCATTGAATTAATTTATAATTAGTATCACTTTATTTAGTACGAAATTTATATCTCCCCTGTAATAAATAGATGATGTTAACAAAGCTTTGCCAGTTTGGAAGTGCTACACTCATGGACTCAAGAGTAATATGCCACATATTAAACTCATAGACTAACTGCCACGTTTGGGGTTTGACTCTTTCATGGTTTCCAGATTTTTCATGCATTTAGTTATTTTCCTTTTTAGTTGTGATTCTTGCTTTGTAGGAGAGTGTCCTCCACTTTCTTTTCATCTAAGTTTGTTTCTAGTTTGTAGGAGGGTGTTCCTCTACTTTGAAGTACTGCTCCTTTAATTAAGAAGTTAGTTACTCATCCACTCAAGTATTTAAACAATAACAATCAATGAAAGAGGCAGCTTCCAAAAATCAATCGGTCTTTGAGCACTTTAGTGTCAAGAGGTACTCAGGTTCCCTCCTTAGAGCCTGAACCAACAGTCAACATAGGTCGTAAAAAGAAAAACCCCAACCAGTCGACTCAAACACCATCCACATCCTTTACCAACAGACCCAAAACTAGATCCTTAACCTGGGACCATAACAAATTGGTATCAGAGCCAATAGTTATGGGCGACACCATACAAGAACAATTTGATAAACTTTTTTCTCTAGTCCTCGCTGATCAGCAAGCCAACAAAACTCGACATGAGAAATTGAGCAACTTGACGCCAAGATGGTGGCAATGTCCCAAGAACTGGAATTTGCTAAACAGGGAATGTCATCCGCAAGTGGTGAAAGTCAAGCTAGGGTTCTCAAAGATAAAGGAATTTCGAGAATAACAGTTTTTGAAAATTCTGAAGGAAACTCGATTGTTCCAAAATTCACCAAACTCAATTTTCCGTGATTTAATGGGTTAGAAGACCCTTTGGGTTGGCTTAGCCGATGTGAGTATTTTTTTCTGGTATCAATTGACGCTAGAGGAAGAAAAGGTGAGCTTATCTTCTTATCATTTAGAGGGAATTGCTCAATTATGGTATATGCAGATGTTACAAGACATGCCCGATCCTACTTGGGAGGAATTTAAGGATCAATGTAATCTTCGATTTGGGCCTCCAATCAGAAGCAACAAATTTAGAGAATTAGCAAAGCTCAAACAACTTGGCACAGTGGCAGAATATTAGAATAATTTTGAAATCTTGGCGTCACGTGCTAGTCCTTACCCAACATCAAAAAATCAACTTTATCTAAGTGGTTTGCAAGATTCCATAATAGTCGAGGTAGAGCTTCATCAACCCAAGGACTTGATGACAACAATGAGCATGTCCAGGTTGTATAAACGCAAACTGCTCTCACGTCCCTCAACAGTCCATGATACCAAATGCATTCCATTCATATCAGAGAATCGACTAAATCGTTCAGTGAAATGGCTGACCAGGGATGAATGGATGAGAGAAGGAAGAAAGGGCTTTGCTTTAACTACGATGAAACCTTTGTTCATGGTCACTTGTGGGTCCTGTATATGTATGGCACAACCCAAGAGGGGGGGGGTGAATTGGGTTTTGCTAACTTACGATGACACACCTTTGTTAATGGTCACTTGTGGGCTCCTGTACTTGATGGCCCACAACCCAAGCAGGGGGGGGTGAATTGGGTTTTCAAAACAAAATACAAAACATCTATAACTTTAAAAACAAAACCTTCACAACTCTCTATTCTCAGCAGAAAAGTAATGAACAAATTCTATTTGCAGCAGAAAAGTAATGAACTTGTGAAAATAAGTTATTGATTAGAACTACCTCACAATGTTCTATTTAGAGAAAATAGAAAGACTTTGCAAAGTACAGTTATCAATTAGAACTACTTCACAATGTTCTATTTAGTATCAAAACTACTTTATGACGGAAAGCTATTATGATTAGAACTTCCTCATAAAAATTTAGAAAACCATAAAAGACTGTGTGAGAGACAGTTATCGAGATTTGAACTGCTTCACAAAGTTTTAATCAAGTTTAGAAATCTGATTAGAAACCCAAATAGTGAATTATACTGAAAAATGAAAGAACAGTTTAGAACTTGGTATATTCACTTTGCAGAAGTCCAGAGTTCTAATGTTCAGAAAAGATACAGCTTATGTCAGTTTAGAACATCGAAACCTTTAACAATTTTAGCATTTCTAAAATATAAAAAAAAATATAAACAGAAGTGTGAGTAAAATAGTATCAAGAAGAACTTCAGAAAATAAAAAGATCAACACAGTGATTTATAGTGGTTCGACACTAACTCGGCTACATCCACTCCTCAAGACTCATCTTGAGATCCTTAACTATGTTATCTCTTTTCAAGGGTAAGAGACAAACCAACAGTACAAAGCAGCAGATCAACTCCTAGATATACCCTTTATTCCACTAGATTTTCAAAGGTTCTAGTTAACCTCAACCCTTTCTGTTTTTGGCAGAGTACAGAAACTCAGTTCAAGACATTAGAATCTCTCTCACGGAGAACGTTTGATAACCTATTTCACAATAGCTTCTCACTTAAGCTATTACACAAATGTTTATCAAATAAGTACATGTCTACTAAAGATTACAGAAATCTAAATAGACAGACAAGAAATGCAAATATAAGCACAAAAAAAAAAAAAAGTTTAAGAATTAGAAAATCATTTTAGGAAATCAGAATTGTTTTCAAGAATTGTTTTTCAAAAGAAGTTGTTATAAAATTTCTTTTCTCTTTTAAAGATAAAACGTAAAGTATTAAGATGAAAAGAAATAAGGGGGTAGAGTATAAGTTTTGAGAGATAAAATATTTGATCAATGGATGAATACTCTTAAAACAAAAATTCTTTTCTCCACGTCTTTTAAAAACGAAACGCCTTTTTATAGAGAGGGCTGTGACTCTCGTTTTTAGAAAGTGAATATCTCTTTTTCAAATTAGAATATTGATTTTTCTTATTTAGAAGATATGGAAATCTTTGTTACAAAAAATTTAAGTCAACATTCTGTCTTTTTGGTAAGCAAATAAGAGACAGTCTCTCTTTCCTTAAAAACAAAGATTTTCGAACGTAAATATTTAAAAATCTTTTTCGAAGGATTTATTTACCAAAAATGATTTTAAAATATAATCTTCCTCCATTTAGGTAAGAAAATAAAATCAAGATTTTTTGGATCTTCAAAAAGTTTTGTTTTCGAAAATGAAGTACATAATATCTTTATTCAATTTATTCTTATTACCAAAATTGCTAGAGACAAAGTCTCTTTAAATTAGGTAATTTGAATATTTCGAATCTTAAGAGAGTTCGAAAAACAAATTAA